CTCGATAAATTCTTATGCTTTAGCATCTTTGCATGCGTGCGAGTGTTGCCATGACAGCATGCTTACCATGAGGCTATTTGCTTATGTGATATAACTACTTGAATGCCTGTGAATGGAGGTTAAATTACCTAAATTGGAATAATGCATTAAAACTGTGAATTTTAAGCTCACTAGATGATGGCAAAACCATGTTTTCTAAGCCCACCCGAGGGTGGCAAAACCTGCATTTTAGCCTACTTACGAGTAGCAAACCATTTTCAAAACAAGCATGCAATGATTTGTTCCAAATTAGGTGATTTGGTCTATACTTGTTTGCTGTGCGCATAACATAGTAATTCTAGGCTAATAACCGGAATAGGAACACATAATGCTTTCAAAACAAGATATCACGATTAGTAGAAGCCGATCTTTGATCGGGCGAGAAGGGGTGCTCATAGCTGACCTTCCCCAATCGTACCCAAGTTCCCGAGCCGAGGCAACTTTGGTGATGACGGACACGTGGCCTTTGGTACCGAGTCAGGGTTTTCTAAATTTCCCAAAATAAATTATTTAGGTGGCGACTCTGTATCTGGAAAAGCAGTCCATGTTTGGCACTTCTTTTCTAAAAATCTATTTTCCAAAACGATTTGTCGGATTTGGACTCTTTGGTTCAGATTAAGAACCGTGACAATTTGAGAGTCCTGAACTGTAGTGAACCCAATATGAACAGAACGGGACTCATCCTTCCGGGACGTTCGGGGACGTCTACACTAGGTTTCTTTTTCTAGGGTTTTGATGAAACCCTAGCTATGTAATTACGTTTTCTTTTTGGTCTTTGATTATGTAAAGGTTTGAACAGTTGTATGGTGTTTTAGAAGTTTCAAATATATATTTTCCACTATTTCTTTGAATATTCGGCTTTCTGTGATTGTTGAATGTTTTCCATACAATGGTTTTCTTTTCTTTCATATTCAAGGTATGAGATGAGTCATACTACGAGGGACGAGTCGTTTTGCTACCCTAGTTTAAAGCGAACGACTCGTACTACTTGAGATGGTTCGTGCCTATACATTGAACGCGATAACTCTCTTGATAAATGCTTCGAACTTGTAGTTACGAAGTATTATTTAGTTTGAACCGTAGCATAATTGATTTCAAATTAAAACTTTATTTACGTAACTAGCGGTGAACTCATTACCCTAGATTTTTCCCAATAGTCAATAATTCATCCTTACTTTTAATTAATTGTTTAATTGCTTTGTTTAATTTAGTTCTCATTGGATTATGAACCAATCTTCTTTTAATCAAAATTAATTTAGGAATCTAACCATTAAATTAGTCTAATTTTCTGTTTGTCCCTGTGGATCGATACCTAGACTTACCATTATTCTAACAGAATTTGGCACAGTTTAGAATTTATTTTTAGTGTGTGTAACGACCCATCAATTTTAATCTTACTAAAATTGAGGTTGTTAGTGTAATTCTATTAAATTTGTAAGATTAATTATATTTTTGTCAACCTTAAAGGGAGGCGAGTGTAATTTATCCCTTTTTTTTTTCCTATAAATCCAACAACATGTTCACATACATTCAAACTTTGTCAAATTTTTATTTTTTATGTTTGACAAAATTCAAAGATGAAGAGGAGAAAGAGAGGATTGAAGGTGTGAGATTGTGTGAATTTCCCATTTTTTATCCATGTTTGGTATATCATGAGTTATATGTGGGGACAATTTGTTTCTTTTTCCTTTTTCCTCTTTATTATACAAAATTTGTACCAAAATTGTTACGTACTTTCACATGAGGTAGGTCCACATGATAAAATTGTTTTAATATTAATCTTCCAAACCAAAAAATTTTACAGTCATTGTTTGAGTTGGGTTTTGTTTTTAATGCTAAAGTTTTATTTATTTATTTCTTCCATTATAGATATTATTTTTAAAAAAATCATAAACTTTGATGGTTTTTATAGCATGTTTCTTTCTCATTTAAATATCATACTTTCCGCTGTTTAATTTTCTAAATTAATTTTCAAGCCCAAACATGCATGGGATATAAAAGATGAATTATGTTTCAAGACTTCCAACATTTTTGCCAAAGCAAGCGTAGGTCGTGCTTTATTCTCCCCCAAAAGTGCAGTCTAAGAACAAGTTCTTTCGCCATGGTCTGATCTTTGCTTTCGTATTTAAGAATTATTATTTTCTTTTTTTTCAAGTATGTTCTTTTTATATATTATTTTTTTTGCATTCAAATATGTTCTTGTTTTTTGTTTTATTTATTTATTTATTTATTTCTGTTTTTATTGGATATTTATTTCAACTTGCGTGCACCTTAACTAATTTTGAAACCTTGAAATTAATAACCGAGTAAACCTTTAGTAGTCCCTTAAAGTAATTTGAACTCGAAATTTTAAATCTTATTATCAAATTTTTACTGCTCGGCCAACTCTTAAGTTCTTTTTAGGATAAATTACACTGACCTCCCTTGAGATTTCTGACAAATATAGGGACATCTACTGTAGTTTCAATAATTATAGTAACATCCTCTACTTTTGCTGACAATATATACAAACCACCCTTCTGTTAACTAGCCGTTAGATAGGTGATGAAAATTTCTTACATCAGCATATTATGGTGACTGAATACCAAAATTACCCTTTGTTCCTTATAACCAAACAGCCCACAACATCACAAACAAACATTGATCTTCTTCATTTCTCTTCTCTCATCCTCACCCACTCCTCCACTAGTAGCATCACTGCCATCACCTCATATTCTCTCTCTCTCTCTCTCTCTCTCTCTCTCTCTCTCTCTCTCTCATCCTTACCACTTCCATCTTATTATCCATTCCAAACACACATTAAATTTATACAAAAATTGCAGGCATACAACCTTTTCTTCTCTAATTTTACACCCACTTTTCCATCCCAATATATACAATACAAATATACAACTAGGAGGACTTCATATTCCATTATGAGTTGTAACAACTAGCACACATCATAGTAGCATGATTTGCCTCTGCCCAGAAGTAACAATTCATAAAATTTGGAAATTATAATATGCAGCAAACAGAAGCAACTAGAATGGCCTTAGCATATACATACAAATATATAGATGGATATGTGTATATATATACAAATATGTAAACATGGAAACAATTTGTTTAACATATATATACACACACATTAAAATTCAAATAGGAACTTGTTTGGATTTTTAGCAAAGTATATAAACCCAATTTAAGCAAATCAATAGATGAGAAAAAGGGAACTGAACAAGAAGAATGACCAACACAAAACAACCGAGAAGTCATCCAAGACTCACCAACCCATCATAGCAACTGTGATGACAACGAAAAAAAAATTAAAATTGAGAAAAATGGTTATTGAAGTGATCAATCCACAAATTCAAACACCCAAGCCCTCGATTCTTGCAAAATCGAGCTTCAATATTGTTATTTCATCACACCCAAAAGTAGATCAAGCTTTGATCTTGCTTGAATGTGCACTCCCAACCAAAAATCATAAAGAAATTGCGCAAATCAAGCTTCAATCTTAAACAGCATGAGTAGATGTAAGTTTGTAATTCATAAAAAGAGGTGTATCTCCTTTCCAATGAAGATTATAAGGCTACACAAAAAACTCATGGACTCCGGTTTTGCTTTCTTGTAGTCGACAGTGCATAACATTTGTTGAAGAAGTATAACCCTCATCCCTCTCACTTTCTCACCTTATATTTTTCCAAATCTGGCCATGTCGATGGACGAGCAAGGGCGACGGGAAGGAGAAAAGAGAAGGGGCGGTGAAGAAGAGAGGTCACCATTAGAAAAAGGGGGTTGAGGAGAATAATTGTCGTTGGGCTTTGGGATCGTTAGAGGCAGTTGTATTGGTGGTGGCTGGAGAGATTATAGGTAGGAGAGAGAAGGAAAGAGGAAAGAGAGAATGGGGCAGAGCATGGTATTGGTGGGGTAGGTATGAGAGATATAGGAATTAAATGATATTTTCATCTTTTCGTGTTCAAATGAAAAGGCAATATGTCATTTTGTATAATCAAGTAACGTCATTTGTGTAAATTGACGGATTGAGAAAATCTTGATATTGTCAGTTAAAGTAAGGGAGATTTCTGTAATTATTGAAACTATAAGGGAGGTCTCTATATTTATCAGAAATCTCAAGGGAGGTAAGTGTAATTTACCCTTTTTTTTAAAGAATGTATTATGCTAAATTTGGGATTCTTTCTTAAAGAAACCAGACGCACGTAGAATGATGATTAGGTAGCTTTAAAATATCAACTAGAATTGTTAATGTGGTATTTTTGAAAAATCACAAATCATGTTAGAAGGTCATTCATCCATTTGAATAATGAGAAATAAATTAACATCTAATACTATTTTTTTTTCTTAAAGATCGGGTCCATGTAATACTATTAGGCCATGTTTGTTTGAACGGACTGGATTAGGTTGGATTAGTATTCCCATGACTAATAGTCCTAGGACTACGAATCCTTTGGATTGTGTATCCTATCTTATGTTTGGATTGAGTTAGGATTATAAGGAGGACTAATAGTCCAGACTTTGGCTTAGTCTTTCAATTTATGTCCCACCCCCCTCTGTGGGATTGAATAATCCATCATATGTGAGATACCATATCCAGATGGATTGTTAGCCTGTACTTCAATTGTTTAACCAAACATCGGATTAATAATTTTATTGGAATATTAGTCTAATCTCAAGCTCATGACCATCCAAACAAACATGGCCCTAGGGCATGTTTGATTCACAAGACTAATAGTGAGGTATTAATAATGCTATCATATTAGTGTGGTATTCACTATCCAATTGGATTAATAGGATAAATCATTCATTGGATTAATAATCCCACCCCTATCCCATTACTAATAATCTTACAAATTTGTTGGATTAATTATCCATTGAATTAATAATCCTAAAACATAGGATAATTAGACTCACAGATTAATAATCACAATCTCATACTCTAATCCATCTAATCAAACCACTACAAGAAAAATAGGATATTACCACATTTTTTTTCCTGGCGTTTTTTAAAAATGTTGTGAAATTTTTTATGATTTTTTACCTTCTCAGCCAATTTAATTATTTTATCTCGTTTTGTGCACCGTTAATAGAAAGCTGTGAAATAACGTTTATTTGGGATTGAAAAGTCAGGTTTCTGATCAAAAGAAAAGAACAGAGGCGTGACTTTTGTGTGTGTGTGTGTGTGTGAGAGAGAGAGAGAGAGAGGGGGGGGCAAAGAGAGAAATCAAGGCCTTGGATCTTCGATCTCCATGGATTCTTTGGTTGTATGATCTGGAAATTCTTGTTCTGTACTTGATTTGAGTGTATCTCAGTAATATCGCTTGAATCCCTCTTATCTAAGTTGATCTAAGGCTCAAGGTTAGAGTTTTCTGATATGGATTTGCTACATTCACATAAGATCTGTAAACTTTCATGGCTGAAACTAACGATTTATAGTTGATTTCTAGTTTCTTTTCTTCTGTTTTGTATTTTCTCTTTCCAAATCGATTTATCTAGGTTATGAGTGCCGTATTAATGTCTCTGATCACGTACAGGAGAAGCTAGCAGCGTTGGATCTGGATCGTTAACAACAATGAGTAGAAGCAAGCTCAACGATGTAGAGATGTAGATCTTATTCTCGGATCTGTTCTCTATCCGATCAGATCTGCTCTCTCTATCTCTCCGATCTGCTAGTATAGTAATATCAAATCTACTCTCTCAATCTCTCCTATTGAATTTCATGTATTCTCTAAATTGCTCTATGAGATTTGGACCTTTCTCTCTAGTTTTTGATTGAATCTCATTATCTTTGTCACTCTATCACATTTTCCTTATAGAAAATGTCAAAACAGTTTCTAAAATTGGTGCTGGTGACTAGTTTATTGATGATGACCGATTTGTAGTTGAGGGTAGTATTTCCTGATGAGTAGTTCGTTGATTGATTCTTATCCTACTGACATAAATTTTTTTATGGATTTTTTTTGTTGGAATAACTTGTTGATATTGCGATTCTTATTGTACCATTTTCCTTGCATGTTAAATATTTGATAAAATGTGTCAATGAAAAACTTTTGTTATTTTTAGTTTTCTAGACTTTTTTGGTTGGTAAATTTTTTGGGCTTTCTGCTGATTTTTAATTTTTTGATAGTTTTCTTTGCAAATATCCACAGCCCAACAACCAAAGAGATTTCCATTGGTGTATTTGTATTGATGGGTATCATTTTGTGTTAGAATTCATCCATTTTGTTATTGACATACATTAACTTGTATATCTAGAGTTTTTCAGTTTTGTCTTCTTGTACTCTTTTTTGGTATATCATTGTTAACTTGTGTTATTCAGATTTGCTTACTTCCAATCAATGTTTTCACCAGGTGGTGCGAGCAAGGAAGAAAGACTCAGGAATTGTATACGCCTTGAAGATCATGGATAAAAAATTTATTACGAAAGAAAACAAAACCAATTATGTGAAGTTGGAGCGTATTGTGCTAGATTTGTTGGATCATCCTGGCATTGTGCGGCTCTTTTTACATTTCAAGATACTTTTTCTCTATGTAGGTATTTTTGGTTCAAGTGTAGTTGAAATTTCATTTGTCCAGATTCACACAAAAACCTGTTTTTTTTTCTTTTTCTTTTTCCTTCCTTTGTTATGTTTGGTTTTTAACTAACTAGGTTTGTTATCTGCAATTGGTACATTTTATTATATGTGAAGACATGGCACTTGAGTCCTGTGAAGGTGGTGAACTTTTTGATCAAATAACCAGGGTAAGTAAATAATTTCAACAATATCGGGATACATATTTTACTTTTCCTAGTGTAAAATCATCAGAACTTCTTAACAATTGTCTCTAGCAATTATTTTGTTGGACTATGATGTAATAATTTTATCTTTTTTCTAGATTACACACTTTTCTAGTTTCTGATGACTAGCGCTATATTGCTTATGTATCCTCAATCAGTCACAAGACTCGCGACATGACTCAATTAAGGTAATTCACTCCATAATGCACTGTTTTATAGGCAATATGGGAAATGCTAATAGTTTCTCAAATGCAGCCAGAGAACCTGCTACTCACTGCTGAAGGACATATTAAAATTGCTAATTTTGGTAGTGTGAAGCCCATGCAGGATAGTCAGATTACAATCCTTCCTAATGCATCATCTGGTAAATTTATCACACTGGTCAGGAATATATCAATATTGTGATTGAGTAATGTGTTAAACTGTTCTCATTTATCTCCTTTTTCAGATGATAAAGCTTGCACGTTTGTTGGAACAACTGCTTATGTCCCCCCAGAAGTTCTAAATTCTTCTCCAGCAACTTTTGGGTAAGGGACTCACTTCTTGAAGGAGTCTAGTAACTTCTTCTGTATTCTTAGTACGCAGGGAAAAATAAAAAAATAATAAAAAAAAAATGAAAGAGCCAGTTGTCACTGGAATGTAATATGAGCTTGTTTTGGCTCTTTTAGAGTTCTTCTGATATTTTGAATGGGTGGTTTCTATTGTTTTCCTTTATGTGTCTTTATGTTAATTTTCATGTGTCATCTTTGTTGGGGGACTTATTTTCTTCTTTTGATTGCATTTGAACAGAAATGACCTTTGGGCACTTGGCTGCACTGTGTACCAGATGCTTTCAGGCACTTCTCCCTTTAAAGATGCTAGTGAGTGGCTCATTTTCCAAAGAATTATTGCCAGAGATATTAGATATCCAAATTATTTTTCAGAAGAAGCTAGAGATCTCATTGACCAATTATTGGTAATCTTATTACTCATCAATTGCTTCTCTTTCAGTTTAAGCATGCAATGCTTGTACATTTGAGCTTCAATCTCCTCCTCCCCTTTTCTCATCCTTGTAATTTGTTGTTATAGAATACACTTTGAACTGAAAATTGGTCTTACTATTTGCACGGACTGTAACAGAGTCCGATTTTGTTAATACTTGCATTTTGATTGGTGTAGAATAGTGGGACTTACCATTTTGGGTGGGTCAAAACACTTTTTGGATATGGGGTCCATACTTTTGGACCAATCATATTTTATGTATTGTTCACACAGTAAAAGAGTGTGAACAAATTCATTTTCGACTGTAACATTGGATACAGATTTATTTTCATATGAACATACTGACTTAGAGATTTCATATATGTATATGTACATATACATATATAGGAGAGAGAATTGATGAACTTTCTGGAGACAGGTATAGATAGAATTGATGATAGGCATATTGTTGGGGGAACCTATATATCCTACATGGGCATTACTTTTTCCATAAAATTGGAAAAATAAGACAATTATAAAGATAAATTACATTCTGGATTTACTTATCTTGTATCCAATATTAATGCTAATGCCATTTGTTGCCTTGCATTCTTGTTGGCATCATTGGTTCCTATCCAAACTGATTAAGTTCATAAAAGTTTTTTGATTTTCAGTTCAATTTTATGCAGAGCCATAATGCTAACAGCACATTGTATTCTTATAATTACATAGATGGCTTCATTCTTCAATGTATAAGACCTCAGATGGCTCCAAGGAAATTATCTGAGTGAGCTGCAATTGTGCCTTGGCATCTGTGCTTGCTTCACAAATGTTGTTGTGGGCCAACTACTTATTAATAGTATGAGTACTTAAGGAGTTGCAATATCTGAAAATCATGGTATAAGTCTGTTAAAATAAGATCATTACATGTTTAGAATCTTATCTCTAACAAAGGCAAAACCAAGATTTGCATTGCTTTGTAATTAAAGTCCTTGCATATTTATTCTTATTTGAATAGCTAGATTATTCAGCATATCACTATCAAAAAGAGAATGACCATTTTTTTTTTAATTTAGAATTGGATGATTCAGGTATATAATCATCATTTTGGTGAAGATGATTGATGACTTGATGAAGCTGAAGAGAGCTGTGGATGAAGTTATTTTTACAGAATTTGGAGAGCACATTGAATATTATTATTTTTATGATTTTGTATTGTCATATTGTATTTAAAGGGGTTTTATTTATTCATTTATTTATTTTATGGAAAATTGAAAAATGAATGCTCATTCACATTATGGTATATATTTTGAGAATGGTGATGGATGATATAGGTTTGGTTTGAACAAAAGTCAAAAGATCATTAATTATGATTTTTCATTTCATCTTTTTTTTTTTTTTAATGAAAGAAATGGTGGCGTTTTTCTTAAAAACGTCGCGAAATGTCGTCATTATGACGTCAGAGATAACTCCTTTAACGTGCATAGGTAACGGCTGTAAAGAATTAGTGGCGTTTATAAAACGTCGTCTAAAGTCTTTAGTGGCGTTTTTAAAACGTCAAAAGATACAACGACGGCCGCATCATCGACGATTTTATAAACGTCGTTTTATCTTTTTGCGGCGTTTTTCTAGCCTATAAAACGCCGCTAATTCCGATTTTCTTGCAGTGGATTATATACAAAACAGAGGTTATGCGCACTCTCACACAGCACTCAGCACTCACCCCTTCTCCTCCGTCGAACCCATCCTCACCGGCGGTGACCCCTGTCGACAAATTCTGTGTACTTCGCTACTTATATTCTTCTCCTCCACCTCACCGAACCGTTCGCAACGGCAAACACCTCTCTACAGCACTCCTCAAATCAAACCCATCTGTTTGCCCTCTTTCTATTTACCCTCCTTGAGAACCAGATGTTAGTCTTCTTCATTCCCTCTGTCTCTCTGTAATTTATTATTTGAGCTTCAATTGAACTTAGTCTGATAAGTTTGTTCTCTCGTCCTCAAGATTATTTGTTAATTGACAAGATTATTTGAGCTCAAACATACATACAAACCTCTCATTTGTCTCTTCATTGCCTCATTTTTTGTTAATCGCAAATTAGATCATTCTGGATATAATAAATGATCAAATCTGTCCTTCACCAAGAAGACAGACAAGTAGAAGAAATTACATCTTAAGTAGATAAATGGGCCTCACCGATGAAAGATATTACATCTTATAAGTAGAAACTTGGCCATCTTAAGTAGAAGACAGATAGATTTGCTGCTTTATATGAGTACCAGTTTCTATAGATACTGGATTCACACAATGAAAGGTAGGCCTCATTCCAACATTAGAGCCTTATAAGACTATATAGTGACAGATTCTAACACTCGGTGAAAAAATCGATTTAATATATTATGACAGAGTTCGCAAGATTATACATGTAGAAGTAGAACTAAGAGCTTTGATGAGAATTTTGGCATACCTAACAATTTACATAAACTTCATAAAAAGTGAAATACCATGGAAATAATGTTATCCATGAATGCTTATTCACAATATGAGGTTGTTTAATTTTTTGTTTAACAACCTTATTATCTGTCCTATGTATGTAACTGGATTATTGATTATGTTTGATTGAGCTTGAAACAAGTCCCTCTTCAAAACTGTGTTGTATTGAAATTTTTTAAAACTGATACTTGTCTCTTGTTTTTCTGTTTGGATTTTTTTTTTTCAAACTGAAATTATGTTTTTTTTTTATGTGTCTAAAATAAGATGTAATTTATGTAGT